TTATTTGCTCTTGAGATCATTTTGCCAAGGGGGTTTCATGTTGCCTTCACCATTAACTACCACACGAGAAGCAACTGCTTTAGGTGCAACAGGTGGTGCATTCTTTGCTTCTTTTTTGGGTGCCTGAGCAGCTCTGAAATTAAATAAAAAAAACATAGAATCAGAGTTGAAAAGTTGAAAATTAATTCTGCATAAAGTAATTCAGTTATTGCTTTCTATGTATAAAATTGCAAATACATCTTTGTTTTATTTATGACACCTTGTATATAAATAATTCTCTTTATGAGAGAAATTTTGTTTTTTAATCTTTGTTTATGGTTTGATTTATAAAACATATTTATTTCAGTACAATTAACTAATGTGATTGGAAGATCATTGCTAACAAGAGTTGGTCAGATATTTATAACATATTCAGGAGATGAATGTATAAAAAGGAGAAGTAAATAGTTAAACCCTAAAATTATAAAGCAATTTCTCCCTATTACTAATCATTTCAAATTAAAATAACATACTCAAAGAAACCTGTCATGAAGGGAAATTTTAAAAACTGCTTTGATACTGTAGATGTTGATATTTTGGTTACTTCCAGTTTGGAAAAAAATAGGGATTATCTGCCCTTAAAATAATTGGGCCCCGGGAAAAAGATGGGTAACATATGTTGAATGGATTTCAACTAATGAACATGAATAATTTGCTTATGCCATTCCACAATGTTATTACTGAATGGCGATTCTCCTGCCTTTGTTAAAATTTGATTTTTTTTATCATTTCACCCCAAGTAAAGCAATACATAAAGCCTCTAAGACACAAGAAGCCAGAAGAGTGTTTAAAAGGTGAGAAGTGTAAGAAAAGAAACTGTTAGCAAAGAACTTAGTTACATTTAGCCAATTCAACTGTAAAATGATGAGACCATGTTGCCATATATAAAATTCTGTGACTTCTGTTAGTCTGTCTGTCCATCACACCCTCTAAAAAAGTCATGCATTGACCAATCGAAACCAAATCTTGGGGAGAAGTGCAAACAGGTAATGGAGTACAAAGTACAGCTGGTTTTACTAGGGTGCATAAAAACTGTGAAATAGGGTTTTTGTCAAAGTATTTTTCAAAACAAATCAGCTTGTTCAAATTTCATCAATTGGTTTGCAAAATTGAACGAAATGTAGAGTTTGTAAATCTTGATAAAAATGTTAGAGATAACTTCAACAATATTAAATACTGTGATGATTTCATCATGCATCAGTATGTTGCAAAAAATTCTAGTAAATTCATAATGTCTAGGTACCATGTAGCAAATTCTCAGTAGTGACTATGTTCATTCATAACAATAACAATTTGACTATTCACTACAATCTTAATGTCTTCAAGTCTAGAGTCAGTTGTCATCTAACCTTTATATCTTCATAATATGCACTTCTTACTTCCTCCCTTTAGACTTGAACAAGAGCATCATTCAGTAACCCTTTACCTTGAGTGGCAATCAGGCCTTGTATTTGGGGAACAATAGTATTAAAATTTGGTACTTAAATCATCAAATGAGTTTTCCAACCAATCAAAACACATCAGGGAAGACACAGTCTTTGAAACTCATCTAAGCTTTTATAACTTCATAAAAAACACACTCACAAATATATCACTCACACAACCAAAGTAAAGCTAGTCATGTTATTATTATTATTATTATAAACACATCAATACCATAAATCTTTCTTCTTCTTGTTTAATGTCATATCAACTTCTGTAGGTCATCTTAGTACCAAATCCTTTATTTAGTATACTTAGGATTTGTAAGAAAGTTTGTAGTTAAATTCTTTAGAGATGAGTTTTTGGTTAAAGAGGTTCTGAAGAAAATTTTTTTGCTTGGATTGTAATAAATGACATCTTTATGTAAAACTGTTATGTAGGAATAAAATATTACTGCTGACACTTGTGCTTGAACATAGAGCGTCAGTGAATAAAAACAGGCAATCTCATTACTGAACTAAGTAGATCATGTGACCATAGGGGAAGTGCATATATAGAGGAAGTCCTAATATGTAGGCATTGACAAAGTATCAAACAAGTATATGTTTTCATAGATAGAGTGGCAACAAAGAGTCGTTTTTCATAACACAACAAAAGCCTCAACTATTTTATAAAGTTAAAGATATTGTTTGGGTTGGTTTGTCTGAAAAGCTTGTTCATATCTCTTACTTTTTTTATAGAATTTTTCCTGGATATTATTAAAGTCAGTACAGTCTATAAGTATGTTTTTCATGGTATATGGTTCTTGGCATACTGTATGTATTGGAGGTTCCTCATTTTTAAGTAGAAAAGAATGGGTTAAGTGAGTGTGTCATTTAAATCAACATAACATTTATACACTTCAGGATTTCTTACTCAATACAATAAACTGATGCTGATCTACCAAATTACTATATATGATCTGTTTATATGTTATCTATACAAGCACTTAAGTAATTAAAAAAAATGTTATTCTTACTAATGAACAGTGAAATACTTTATGAACAAATTGAACACTGGATAGGCAGCCATTTAAACCATCTGTATAAGTTTTCTATAAATACATTCATGATATTTGTTCTGAGGAACTTTCCATTAAAAATTCCACTCTAGTCAGATGAACACTTAAAGTTAGATAAAGGGGTCGGAGTTATCTACCTTTAGTTTCTTTGTTTTTTTTATTGTTGTTATGAGAACACACTGTCATGTTGTCCCTAATAAATAAAATAAGCCAATGTGTGTGTTAACATGTTGCAGCATGTGTCTGTTTTCTTCTTGAGTTTATATTCCTGTCTGGAATATGAAGTTGAATACCTGCATTTATACAAAACAAGGTATGCCTATGTTTTCTATCTAACTTGATGCATAAATTTCTAACAGAGTACACTGAACTTTAAGGATATTGTGGGATTGTAATGGCCATCTTGAATTTGCTGCAGGGGAAAAGAATTTTACCCAGTTGTAATAAGATTGAATATGGCAATGGAAACAAATCTTATTGGTCTTTTGACATTGAATGTGGCAAATTACACCACTTGAAAAGTGCAATGTAAAATGGCATTTATCAGAGAGGGTTTATGGAATATAGTAAATGAGACAGAGATTGTTTCTGAACCCAAAACAGATGCGATCGTGTACTCAAAATACCTGTTGTGGAAAGATTGGCAACAATTGTGTTGTCAGTCGAACCATCATTTTCTATTTAATTGGAAACCCTGATGATCCTGCCATAGTGTAGAAAAAATTGGCAGACCAATTTCAAAAGAAAACATGGGCAAACAAATTAGCATTGAGGAGGAGATTATATTCTTTTACATTGAAAGAAGGTGATTCTGACATATTAAAGAGTTGTCAGTCATTGGCGATTCCATTGATGAGGAGGATCAAGTTGTACATCTCTTAGATAGCCTACCAGATTCTTATATGTTGTTGACAGTGCTTGAAGCTAATCAGGATGTGCCTAAGTGGGCATAAGGTGACTGAACGACTATTGTATGAGCAATCACAGTTTAAAGAAAAAGGAAGTGTTAGTACTGAATCTGAAGCTATTGTGTCAAAACATAACAAAAGTGGACCAAAGTGTTACCACTGTAGAAAAAATGGACACATGAAATGTAACTGCCGACTACTTGGTCAAGATAGAAAGGAAATAAACTGGAAAAGGAATTTCTCCAAAAGGAAAACCTATACCTTGATGAAATAAGAAAGAGTCTCCAGTAACTCAGAAAATGGCACTGTGTTGGTTTATTTGCAAATAATGCATTACTAATTAATAAGGAAAAAAGGGGAATTGGATTGTGAACTCTGGAGCAACATGTCACTGTAGTATTTTTATGTGGAATGAAGACATGTAACACACATCTTAGGGTCTAGCCAGCTTGTTGCTTGTTTTATTCTCCCCCTGCTTGTCTTACCCCCTTTTCCCCTAGTCTGTTTTCTACCTTCCTTTATTGGCAAGCTAGGCTAGAGGAGCTAATTGGAATCATAATATTATATCCCATGTCAATGTCGCAGCTGTTCGATGTAGCCTTCTTGATGGCAGAGTTCATTGACTGCATGCAATGTTCTGTGAGGCCATTTGTCTGTGGCAATTATTTGCCATGGTCTTACCTGCATCAGGGATTCAGCACTCTGCACTTTTTGGTGTTTTGGCATGTATCACATATTTGAATAGTCCTGTCAATGTCTTTATTGATGTTGTTCCAGAACACATAGCTTTTTGCTCTTAGCCTGCACTTCACAATCCCTTCATGGCCATCGTGGATCTTGTACTTGGACTGTAGGACAATGATCCAATTGTCCTTGATCAAAATTCCCTTTTCAATGGCTAGCTCATCACGATATGGCCAGTATGGTTGCATTTTCTTACCAACTTCTCTGAATGTATTGGGCCAGAAATTGCATTTTTTGTTGCTTGTAACCTGCACCTAGCTATGAAATCATCACTGCTTTCCATATCTCTTTGCATATATTGTCGCAGATAAAATTGTGCGATATGGAAGTTTACTTGAGGTTCTAATTGCTCCTTGAATTTCTGCCAAATAACGTTTGGGTTATTTTTATCAGCTTTGTTATCAAAAATCCACAAGTTGAACCTTCTTCTCCAGCTAGTAAAAGAATGTGGTCAACCTGTTTGTCAGTTGGTATGTTTCTGATAGAGAAATAGAAGTTACAATGCTGTTTAAAAAATCTGAACAAATCCACCGGGTTTGTAGACATCCAGCACCTAACCAATTCATGCATGTTTGCAGCCATTGTGACTAACACTGTTGTAAAGTACGGTGACAATAAATATGTAATACTGTAAAGAACTTACTTGTATAGCCATGGTTTTGTTCACTAAAGAGTGTTTGAGTAGCAGCTCCTTTTTCTTTTCATTTCTGTACTAATTATTTGTTTTTTTTTAAAAAAAAAAAAAAAAGAAAAATGGTCACACCCATTAAGTCTTCATGTGGTGTTGCTGATGCTTGTAGTACTCCTTGTTATTCCTGCCAGAGGGGTCTGAAGTCTGTTCAATTTGAAGTATTTCTTTTTTTATAGCTTGGTAGTGTTCCCTGTAGACCCTGTAACTATATCCATTACCACTGCCACTATGTAGTATCTTTATGAGGAATGAAGACACATAAAACACATCTTAGGGTCTAGCCAGCTTGCTGCATGTTTTATTCTCCCTCTGCTTTTCTCACTCCCTCCTCCTTGATCCGTTTTCTATCTTCCTTTATTGATGATCAAAGCTGGTGGGGGGGATTGGAATCCTAATATTACAGTCACATGTGTTATGATGTGAAAAAGTTTCTAAACTTTAGACAGCTGAATGAAGCAGAGGAAATAACTCTTGGTGATGGTTATTCAGCTGAAGCATTAGGAATAGGAATGATTGAACTGAATGTGGAAGTTTCAGATCAAAAACGGCAAAGTTGTATGAGACTCTATATGCTCCCAAACTATCATATAACTTACTGAGGGTAGCTAAAGTTGCAAAGTCTGGAAAAGTTTGTATTCACTGAAAGAAATTGTCAGGTTCTAGATGAAAAATAAAAACCAAAAATGTTGAAGTATGAGAATTGGCCCATGCAACAGCAAAATGTTCAAGTAATAGTAAAGAAGAAATTTGGCATCAACGTTTTGGTCATCTTGGAGCAAAGAATTTGCAGAAACTAGCAAGAGATCAGTTAGTAACTGGCCTTGATTTTGATGTCACTAAGGATATAAACTTTTGTGAACCATGCATGGATGGAATTTCAAAAATCTGGTGCAAACAGATCAGCTGAATTGCTTGGAATTGTACACAGTGAAGTATATGGAAAAATTGAGGCAAAATCACTTAGAGTTGAATACTTTGTCACATTTATTGATGATAAATCAAAATTTGTATGGGTGTACATGCTCAAACACAAGGGAATTTGTAGAGTGGAAAGACATGATTGAAAGGTCTAAGTGGATATGATATTGGCAAAATTATCAGATGAACAAAAGAAAGAGGCAAACAAAAACCAACTTCTTGTAGAAATTCAATGTCAGTATCAGTAAAGATGATGATGGCAATAATGAAAACAATTCATAGGAAGCTACAGGACTAAGAAAATCAAAAAGAGCTATGGAAGTTCCAGATTTCTATGTTAAGTGGGTAAACATTGCTCACAGACTAAATGATCTGTTAACCATGAGAGAATGACTTTCCTGTCCAGAGAAAAATGGATGGAAGAAAGCAATGGAAATAGATTCACTTCAAACAAATAAGTTAAACTACTCAGTGGATGGAAAGCTATTGGTAGTAAGTGGGTGTTCCAATGAAAATATGATGCTGATGGAGACATGGAACAACACAAAGCTCGGCTGGTAGCTCAAGGCTTTAATCAAAGGTATGGAGTTAACTATTATGAGACTTTTTGCCCAGTTGTAAGGAATCAGCTCAAACTGTTATCACATTGGTAGCAAAACATGACCTAAAGCTGCATCAGACATAATGACTGTATTCCTAAATGTTGAGTTGAAGGAGGATATTTATATGAAGCAGCCAGAAGGATTCAAGATGAATGGCAAATCATACCTGGTCTGTAAACTAAAGTGAAGTATCTATGGTTTGAAACAGTCTCCAAAACATTGAAATGATGCATTGGACTGTCAACTGAAAAGGCTGCACTTTAAGCAACTGGAAAATGACCCATGTATTTATACACAGTCCTCAGGAGGAGATATGTTCATAGTGTCTGTGTATGTTGATAACATCATCCTGGCAAGCAAATCCTTGACATGTATCCAAGGATTCATCAAACAGATCTTGCAAAGTTTTAACATCAAGGACATAGGGAAGTTGCACTGTTTCTTGGGTGTTAAAATCACTTATCCAGAACCAGGAAAAATATGGTTTGAACAACCATCATATACCATAGAAGTTCTGAAGTAGTTCCAAGTGGAGAAGTATGTGCAACTCCAATTGATGCTGGTACAAAGTTGACAAAAGCCAACAAGGACAGTGAGCCATTTAGTCAGGAAGTATTTCACTCAGCGATTAAATACTTGATTTATTTGTCAACAAGGACTTGAGCCGATATCGCCTATACTGTTGGAAATGTAGCAAGATTTTGTTCCCAGCCTACAGTCCAACAGTGGAAGGCAGTAAAGCATATTGCGTATTACTTAAATGGTATGCTATGGGCTACTCTATGACAAAAATGAAGCAGGAAATCTAATGGGATATTCGGATGCAGATTGGGCTGTTGATCTGGATGACCACAAGTCAATGTCAGGATACCTGTTTAAACTAAGTACAGTAGCTGTAAGCAAACCTGTGTTGCATTATATACAGCTGAAGTGGAATATATGACTTTAGCAAGTGCATCACAGGAGGCAGTATGGATGCAGTGTCTCCAATACAATATTAATGATGCCCATGTTGGCCCAACAAACATCTATAAGGACAATCAATCTATGATTTGTATGACAAAAAATCTACAGTATCATAGATGAGCAAAACATATTGACATTAAGTTTCATTACATACAAGAACAAGTTGCAATAAAAACTATTGAATGACAATACTATCAAAGTAAGGATATGATTGTGGGTGTGCTGACAAAAGGACTGACTAGCACACAATTTGTGAAGCTCAGAGAACTGATATCTACTTCTAATTTTTTATTTTTTTTATTGTTGTTATGAGGGCACACTGTCGTGTTGACCCTAATAAATAAAATAAGTCATCATGTATCTTAACATAGCACAATATGTGTCTGTTGCCTTTTTGAGTTTATAGTCCTGTCTGGAATATGAAGTTGAATACCTGCATTCAAACAAATGCGTAAATTTCTAACACTTTCCTCTGTGGTACCAAAACTTTATGACTTTATGAATTTAAGTGCAGTACTAGATTGGCAGAAAGATCTCATCATTTTACAGTTGACATAGCTAGATGTGACCATAAGTTCTATGCTAACAGTTTCTTCACTCACACTTCTCACTTGTGGAACTCTGGTTCCTGATTCCCAGTCAAATTTGATCTTCAAAAATTTACATACAATGTCAGTTGTTATCTTCTGTCTTTTTAATTCTTGTTCTTTTATTGTTCTCTCTCTTTAATAGTATTGTCTCATATTCTCTAACACTCAGTAATGCCTCATGTCTTAGTGGCTTTATTTACCTTGCTTGGGATGAAAGGATTAAAAAAAAGAAAGTTAAATAAATCTCTTTTTATTGTAAATTTCACTATCTTTTCAATTTATTATAATAAGATTATTGTATCTTTTGACTGTCATTATTTTCACACTATACATTATGAATGAAAAATATAAAGAAAAATGACATTTTGACTAACAGTACTTAAGCCACCTACCATGTACCTTTATTCAGTAATGCACACATAATAGGGGTGTTAGGCAAGAAAGAATATTACCAGTTTACATTTCCCCATTCTGGGCATTATTATATCTGTGATTTAATAATACCTTAATACAGATGGAACAAAATAACTGAAAGAAAAGAATGACACATGCATTAGTGTCAAAGAGATTTTTATGCATTAATATATCATACAAGAAATTATATATAAATATATAAATACTTGTTACTAATTTATCCCACACAGGGAAATTGTAAGATATGAATAAAACAAGCAGAGTGGAAATGCAAGAAGAAAGAGGGTCTTACTTGTAATGTTTCTCAAAAAGAAAAGGGCCAGTCCAGTGGTATGTTCTACAAACTTCATGGTACTATGTAGGCTCTTCTGTTCTTCCTACTACTGTGGGCCTAAGATAATGTCTAGTGCCTTAGCAGTCTATAATCAGCAATTGGCATGGGCAGATATTTTTTCTCTATACATGCTAAATAGCAACTGAAGTTTTGTCACCCCAAAAACTCACATCACTTGTCGGCCATCATGTGACCCTCATGATTCCAACTTAACCAAAAGGGAGATAATCACCCTTTGCATCTCTACATAGAAAATTTCACAGCCACTGAGTCATATATTTAATGAGCTTTATACCAAATACAGAGTTGTTGTCCTATGTCATAAATACAGTGCAAATGTAGGATCCAATGATGTCTTGAAAAGTCTTTTATGCTCTTTTTGTTTGAAGTTGCATTGTTTCACTTACTTGATTTCTGCTGATTTCTTTTCCATAAGTGCTCGTTTCCATGCAGGGACATTCTTATAACGTTTTTCTTCTTCTGCCTGCTGTAAAAACAAATTTCTCTTGTTTAAAAATGATTTCAATGAATGAAATAAAAAAATTCCAGATTTGATTAAAGATAATAAGCCTCCTTGTTCTAAATGTACATCACAATAGGCATTGAAGACCTGTATTGGCTCTCAATAAGTTTCATTTGTTTTTGTAAAAATGTTTCCAGACAGTAGATTTTGCTTTCACTGATTTGTTTTCTACACCTTATCAACCTTTTGTAGGTTATTTAAGGCCAGAAAATGTTTTTAGATTGTAAAAAATTTTTGGAGATAATAATGGTTTAGTGATACATTTTACTAATTAACTCATAGCGAGGGGGAGAAGAGGTGGATTCATACTTTTCCCAAGTGAATATAACAAACCCAACAGGAATTGGAATTCTGTTCTCCAATTAACAATTCCAAGCATCCATTATATCACCCACATATCCAAATTTACAGTACCTGATATTCCCAAGCAGTCATCCATCTAGATACAAAACAGGCTTGATGTTGCTTAACTTTGGTAATAGCATGGGAACTAATGTTTCAACCTGATATGACTGTAATCTCAAATTTTGCTTTGAAATCCAGACTGAATGAACTTATGTATCTATAGATAGCATATTAATTTGACAAAAGAGAATCAATATATTTTAACGACTACTGAAAGCCTTCTGTACAGAGAAAGATGTATCTATTTAAGAGATCTCAAGAATGATTGTATTAGATATTTAAAAGGTCTTTGACAAGATGTGGTATAGCGAGTTACTACACAAGATCAGAATCATTGGAAGAGTTTTTGCAATTATCAAGTCCTTCCTAACAAGTAGATCCCTGAAGGTAGTTGTCACTCCAAGGCCCAAGTGATCAATGCAAGTATCACCACAAGGCTCACTTCTCAGTCCAACCCTCTTTCTACTTTACATAAATTATTTGACTAAGAGTATACTCCAATCATTTGTGAATATCTATACTGAATGATACAATGGTATATGGGTGCACCGCCAAAACTCCAAAACTCTAGATGACCAGAGCTTAGCAGCTTAGCAGCTGATCTCTCCTCTGGCTTAGCTTTAACAGCTCAGTGGAGGAAAAAACTGTCTGGTCTCATGTAATGCCTTGAAAACCAAACTAGTGACATTCCATCATCGCTGAATGGATCCTGAATTTTCACCTATCATGATGAATGGGTATTCTCTCAGGGATGTCTCATAACTTGAGTGCCTATTATGGACTTAAACTCAACCCAGAACTCTTACATATGATTCTTTGCCAAAGATACTGAAAAAGATGATCAGTTCCCTTTATAGCTCAAGTAAGTACCTGACTCCTCCTGTTATCCTCTACCTTTATAAGAGCCAGATAAGGCCAAAAAGGAAGTACTGCTGCCATATATGGGCAGGAACTGCCCAGTCTTCACTTTCCAGTCTCGATTCATTTTTGTGAGTGACAATTTATTTTCCACCCTACAACCCCTTTTCTCACAGATAAAACATTGCAAGTCTCTTGATGCTCTATTGCTATTTAAAGGGAAAATGTTCAAATAAAATACATTCTTTAGTTCCACCAGTTCTAACCTTCATGGCTAAAAACCACGAAACTATGCACATTGTAGTGAACCACCCTCATTCCCTTTGGATTCCATTGGTGAGATGTAAGTTCCACTTGAGCAGCTTCTTCCAATGAGCAGCTATTTTGTGGAGCCAACTCCCAAGAGTATGCTTCCCCAATCCCTACAATCTTGGCCTGCTCAAGTCTAGGGTCAGCTGTTATCTTCCTGACATATCCCCATAAATTGTACCTCTTACTGTGTACCCTCTATCCTGAGTGGCTTTTTGGCCTTGAACATCATTATAAAAAAACCCAAAAGAGTGATACTTTTCCTAGAATATTTTGTCATACAAATAGCCTTTAGTGCATAATGTGATAGTAGCAATGCATAAAATACTGGCATATTTTATTCAGATTTAGATGTATATGGCACTAGTGTAAAAAAATGTACACAGCACTCATAAAAAATAGGAATACATTTTTGGGAAATAATTTTTGTAGACTTTCCATAAGCCACAACACTTAATCAATTTAGATGGAAGGTTCTGTTTATCATATAAATACAGTCAAATCGATCCCTGACTTTTACAGTTATTGGATCAGTTTTGCACACAAAAACATACTTTTTTTGGGGGGGGTTCCAAAAAGATTTCTTTTAAATAAAGAACAAATGGATATATACATTTTTAATTAAAGAACAAAAACATATAAAAATTAATAAAAATGTCTATCTATTTATTCCTTATTTAAGATAAATAATTATTAAACTCAAATATTTGTGTACATGTTTCTGAAAAATCCCAGACAGAAATTTTTTTTTTAAAAGTTAGAAAAAAAAATGGTTAAAAAATTCAGAAAATTAAAAAAAATATGCAGTTATCAGTGATATCAATAATCACATTTTCAAACCTGACATTTGTAAATAACAATTAAGCCCAATAACTTTATAAAAGCCAGGGATTGTTTTTACACTATATTGATATTATGAAAAGGAGCCCCCTTCTGAAATGTTAAAAAATCAATACTTTTCAATTCTGACAAGTGTCTAAATATGGGTTAAAGAATGCAAATGTACAAAAATTATTCACCCACCCAAATTAGTGCCATTTATACTAAATTCTAGGTGTCTTATACAAAACAAATTTTGAGAGATTGTATAGTCAATTCTTCTATGTGCCATGTTCCTTCATGACAAAGGCAATTATGGCTCTTAGAAATATAGTAGTATCATAAATGCTTCAATACCTTTTTCCTTTCATCATCATCATTCTTGGCTTTCTCTGCCAGCTGGCGTGCCAAGACATGTCTCTTCCAGGGTGGAATATCTCGTCCACCTGAGTCTTTATCAGGGACTTGGTCCAAGAAATTCTTGGGATCAAATTCTCCCTCTAACACTAGACGGTCTGCTCGATCCTAAAAACAGCAACAAAAAAAAAAAACAAAACAAAACAAAAAAGAAGATATAAACATTTAAAAAACTGCTCTCCTCCAAAAATAGGTATGAAATATATATTTTTAATATTTGAAATTGGAAGTCATGAAAATAGGCTAATAATTGTTGCTGATCATTTTAGATAAGTTTATTTCCAGAAAGAAAGATCTGAATTAAACTAAAATGTAAATCTTAAACCTTTTTTTATAACAAATCATGAAAATAATTAAAAATTGATGATCACATACACTGGGAATTACACAATAATTATATTTTTTAGTAAATAAATTAAAAAAAGTAAATAAACTAATTAAATTGTGTTGTATACATTTCACTGTATTTTTATGTTAATCAGATGAGATTTAGGCTATGAATTAGCACTAGTGTATTTGTGTGTGTTTGTGTATGAAGTCATTATGATTCATATACAATGTGTTGAAGTGTCCATTCTTTTCAAATAAAGAACCATAAAGACTTTAAAAATATTAAAGAATTTGTCCACTGTTATCACTTTGATATCTTTGTTCTTTAAGAATGGATCTGGTGGTCTCTAGGTGTTGCTTAGTGCTTTTTATTTCCTCACCCCAGTAAGAACAATAAAGCTTAACCAGCCTTAGTATTAAGTTAGTTGTGTATTTCTCATGGCTTCCAGTGGTTGCTGTTCAAATCCAGGTTTTTAATGCTGATTTTCAAAGTATGAAGACTCTTCATTTAAGAGATTAGTACAATACTATTCCTCCTTCTATTTCCTCATATTTGGATTTGTGTTGTATTAAGTTAAGTTTAGTAAACATCTTGAACACTACAAGTTTTAACAAATTTACAATACCAAATGTCAAAGTTTTATTCTAAGCATGAAACTTTAATATGAAGGGATAAATAAGTACTAAGTGATTTCTAAAGACCACCAGATGCAACATACTCTTTAGGAAAGTTGAAGAACATATTGAATGAAATATGATAAAAAAAACAGAGATGAAGATAAAAGTTTCAATAATGTGTGGATTAATTAATTCTTTTTGCATCTTAAAAATTTAACAGAAATATTTGGTAAAGTTTTCAAATCAATATAAATTATTTTCATGTTTACATGCATTTTCTCTTTCTCTAATTTTAAAATCTGTACAAACTGTCTTGCTTTCCAAATAATTAGAGATATACAATGACTGTCTCAAGGGTTAGAGCATTGGACAGAAGTATAAGATTTAATTTTAGCATGAGCAGCCGATTTGCTTCCGTAAATGACCAAGTTCAGTTTCATGATATGTACCTTGCCCCCATCCCTATTTTAAGTTGACACTTTACATACTCTTGGAGATAATGATGTTAATTTTTCTTATAAAATTAACACTTTTGATATGAAATAAGTTTAGAAAGAGATATGTCACAAGAATAAGCTTGAAAAAATATGGAAATATATATTTCTGCTAATTTACAATTGAAATAGCTAAATGCAACTGTAAGTTCTATGCTAAAAGTTTCTTCTGTCACATTTCTTGTTTATGGAACTCACTTCTGGCTTGTTGCTTCCTAGTCAACTTTGATCTTTAAAAATTTAAATACAATGTCAATTCTTAACTTCTGTCTTATTAATTCTTGTCCTTCTATTGTCTTCTCTTCTTAATAGTAGTTTTTCTCATATTCTCTAACACTCAGTAACACCTTGCATCCTAGAGGCTTTATTACCTTGCTTGTGGTGAAATGATAAGAAAAAAAATCATGTTTATATTAGAGGTTCCAAAAAGCCTTTCCAAATCATGTGCTTATAAAATATGTTTGTTCCTAAAATTAATGAACCAGTTTCTTTCTTGTGCTAGATTTATTCTTAAAACATTCTATACATTATGCAAGTTTACTGTAGAGTCATTTAAAATTATTTTCTTTAGGAAAGACACAAAACTACCATCTAAACAAACACAGAGATAGATAATTAGGTGCAAAATTGAGTGAAGGAAGTGTTCAATGACCTAATGGTAAAAATTCATTTTAGATAAAAACTCATTCAAAAACTAAAACTGAAAACCAACCGGGAGAGTTTTTTTTTTTACCAGATGAACTAAGGTATTCAGAAAATGTATTATTTCACTATTTTCTTAGAACTCCTGCTGACATTGAGAATAGTACCTCAATGGTATAGGAGACATGCTTTCCAGAAGGAAGCTTTAAACCTCATCAGAAATTACTAAAAGAAACCTGTTTACCAGAGGAGACATATTTTCTACAAGTAATGAGTAATGGATTGTGGCTCAGATTGGGGAATCATAGAGCTGAGTTTGAATTCCAGTCAAATTCATTACATTCACTTATGTGCTAATAAAGGGTATGAATCCAACTCTTCTTCCTCCAGCTATGGGTAAATAGTAGGACTGACTGGGTCCTATAGCCGTGGGTGGCAACTGATTTACTGCAGAAAGAAATGGCAACCTACTGTGGGAAAATATTCTTCCTAGTCAGTCATGACTCAAAAGCGACATGATCGCACAAATGTGTATCACATGTGGCACTTAGCTGACTGAATGAATGAAAATTAGTTTTGTTGCTTAGATGTTACATTAAAACTTAAACCTGAAGCAACAAACTTAAATAGTCACATTCATTAGCTAATCATTAAGGGAACATTGGGTGAGTATCTTGAAAAACTAGTTTATTTGATTTAAATCAGTTATTGTATATATTTAAAGTTTAAATTTGTTGTAGAGTAGCTAGCACCACTTCAGCACTCTACCAGATGGCCTGGTTCAGAGCCTTAAGTAGTCTACGATTAAGGACTTCAACAGTTGATTAATAAATTGATACTAAGCTGATTAATATTTGGAATTTTCTTACTTTGTTTGGCTATACAGCATTTGACCCTTCTCTATTCCTTGTAAGTTGTCTTGCTAATTGTTTTGTAATTTATTGTTCTGTGTTTTTTGTATGTATTTGTTAGCACCGGATACTGGTGTTGAATAAATATATTAAGCACTCATTCTTCTCTGTGTATCATTCACCTTGACGATGCAACAAAATTAAAAAAAAACAAAAAAAAAACAACATCTTAAATAGAAAAAAAGCCTTAGTTATTATGCCACTGAACAATGTCAGTACATCTGTTATCTGAAGCTGTGAGGTGATGTACTTAATGATTAACACACTTTAATTAGTATCTTCATTCTCGTTTTTAGCATCACATTTCAACTAATATGTTCTTTAGTTTTTTTATTGTTTTCTTTTCAAGAAGAACCCTGCATTTTTGAAAAGAACATACATAAGAAAGAAAAAGTAACATGCAATTTTTAAAGACCACTAGATGCAACATACGCTTAACAAAGAGTAAATTAGTTGAAATGTTAAAATCAATAAATATGGAAAAAAAAATAATCCAGAATGTGAGTAGAATTTTGCCAATATATGCATTGCTAAGTCCTAGAAAAAATATTGTTTGTTTCAGATGAAAATATTATGATGCATACAATTAAATCATTGTAAGAATTTAGTAAACATCTATCTTCATTTTAGCTAAAATATTTAAAAATTAAAATTAACCAGATTAATTTAAAATATCTTTTATTACAAATTGTGTTTTAATGAATTTAAATTACCCTGTCTAAAGCATAAATGACTTTGCAAATCATTTTTGATAAGTTCAGAAAAGAAGAAATAATTTCATAGTATTTTCTTTAAAGTTTACAAGGGTTAATTAACCTTGTCTATCCTGTCCTATGGATTGAATATTAACCTTAAAGCAGTGGATCCAATGCACTGATCACTGAGCAATGATTTTGTTCGGTATCAAAAAACATTTGATTGAACAACAAAAGGAAACAAAATTATATGCAGATCTAATTCTAATTAAAGAAAAAGAAAATTAGAATAGTAAAAGGAAATACAATTATTTAATGAAATTTGAAATTCTTACTTCTTCAGCTGCTGGTTCTACCTATTATTATTATTATTATTATTATTAGGTAATTGAATGACAAAGTGGAAAAATTCTATTACATGTTTCATCCTCGAAATTAATGTTTTTTATCTTCTTCTTCCTCCTCCTCCTCCTCCTCCTCTGAACAGTTATTGAGATTTTCATTTAAATTTTTTTAATATTATACAAAGATAATATGCTCATTCAATAGTGCTTTGATCCATCCATCCACACACACACACACACACACACACACACACACACACACAAGTATGATTTTCTTTTAATTTTTGGCAATGTTTAACCTTTGTGCCTGTAAAAAAATAGTGTGTCAAAAGATCTGTTATTACTGTATACACTTTTTAAAAAGTGCTGATTAGAATTTAAATAAAACCCAAATTTATGAAAGTGGAATTATACATTTTCTTTATCCTTGAGAATTGACAACGAAGATATTAAACACTATTTATTTATTAGACTGAAAAAAACTTGTTTTCATAGTTAATTATAAAATGGTAAATAATAAATATTGCATTGTAGTTGATTCACATATTTTGATAATCTTGTAAATAAATGTTGCCGAGGAAGTCAGAAGTGTATACAATAATAGCGGTGTCATGGGAATAACTGTACTTTTGACACACGGGTTTTTTTTTTGAAGGCACAAAGGTCAAACATTGCCAAATTTTCAATGTATTAAAAGATGATGTGGTTACTCTGTAAAGTTTTGATTACAGTTACATATAACGGCAATATAAATAGCTTTTTTTCTGAATATACAGATGCCATTCAATAGAGAAATGCCTGGTAAATATTTTTTTACTATCTATAATTTCTCATGGATATTATGTAAATGAAACACCTCATTAAGTGAACATTTATTCTTTCACACTCAGTAACCACTTGTGTCTTAGTGGCTTTATTGTTTTGCTTGGGGTGAAATGATTAAAAAAACAATTATTTCATTTAATTTTCATAATCTACACTGAACAATTAGCATTTCTGAATGACTGAGAAAGATTAGTTTTGGCTGTTTTGGTATTGATTTGTTCATGTAAAAATCTTTGCTTCTCAGTCAAG